AGAATTCTGGTGCAAATGCTAGTGTTTTGAGATAGGGCCTTTTTGTAAGCAAATAAAGCCACACAAAAAATGCATAAACACAACGACTAAAGCCCCTCGATGCAAGCACCAAGAAAGATGTGACATAAGTAAAGACCTCATACATGTATCTTGGGAAGTGTATGGTTAAACCAACATAGGCATGTTCGTGCAGCAATAGTCTTCCTATAGTAAAGTCTCGAACCGTACACATGAAGTATAGCTCTGTTCGCGATAAGCAGAAAACAACTGCTAAACTGGTGTTGGCACAGTAACGTCTTCAATGGAAAGTGCTGGTAAAACCAACAATTTCCATGATTGGCTCGCGGTAAAGCCAACAATTCCAACACTTTCCATGAATTTCGAAAAACCTCGTGAGCCAGAGCCATAGTTTGGAAAATCATGGAAATTGTTGGTAAAACCAACAATTCCACCAACAATTTCCATGAATTTCGAGAAATCTCGTGAGCCAGAGCCATAGTTTGGAAAATCATGGAAATTGTTGGTAAACTCCAACAATTTCCATGATTGGCTCACGGAACATGTTGCTACGAGCAACAAATCCAACCGGGGGGGACCATACATAAATAAATAAATAAATAAATAAACAAAAAAATATATATATATATATAGGGAGCCTCCTTCTTTATTGGGACATGAAGACTTTGGAGCGTGAAGAATGGCTCCTGTAGCTCAGTCTTTAAAGCACTTATGACTACCCTCTTTGAACCCTAAAGAATCTGACAAATCCGTCGCCAGGATGTGCCAGGGCCTCGCTTTCGCCAGAGGCACCTTTTCGTAATGGGGAGAGGCCGGGGAGAGAGAACTATGGGAACCGCCTGGTTTTGGAGAGAGTTTAGGGTGTAAGGGTTTGCCGAAGAAATCTACAAGGTTTTAAGGGAAACGCTTGCTGACAACTCAGGCTTTCGCATTACAAAGGACCTGTTTCTTGATTTTGTTGTCCAGCCTTGCGGCTACAATCGTCATGGAACGATGTTTCACTTCACCGAATTGCCACCCCTCGCCAACCATCATGAGCACAAAAAGCATAGGGTTGCCTGGCCTCCACATCAGGGAAGCAAAAAGAAGAGCTGCCCCTATCCACAGCAGCAAGGACGAAGTCATGTTCATCCGATAAGCCTAGGTCCAGAAAACCTAACCCAGACCCCCCAAAGTATCTAAAAACTAAGTCATCAAAAAAACAAGGCAATCCTTCATTACTTTCATAATATAACCCCATATCATTCTTGTTGATCCAGACTTCAGATCCCTCAGAGGGGTCTGGGACACTCTAGAAGATTCGGAACCCTCGTAGGAATTAGACTTTCAGCTAGACCCTAGGACTAAAAGGACTCATATTCGGAAGACTTTGGGCCCAAAGACCTGTTATAAGCAAGGCTTTTGGGTCACCTCGGGGCCCAAAGGACAGTGAACAGAGAAGCCTGTAGTAAACTGCAACCTTAAGATCTCAGAGCATTCTTGTTTGGCTCCAGTCAGAAATCAATCTGCTCAAAGTCTTCTAGTCTTCGGTCCAGAAGCAATAGACGAGGCGATGGTACCCAGCGCAAAGAGAATCCAAACCATGAGACCAATTCCCACCGTCTGCAGTACTGCAACAGGGCTGCATGACCTGACAGTCAAGGGGGCGTACTCAGGGTTCAGGGTTTTCTGATCATCCTATTGCGTTCTAAAATTGTCTAGCAGGTGTACCTGGACTCGTGTGTGAAGGAATTTGGGCACAAATCCCAGACAGATTTTCAGCCTCAGGATTAGAGCGCGTTATGGGGGGACTCTATGGGGAAGGCCTTCTAAAAGGGTATGTAAGGTAGGCTGTTGCTCGGAGGACTGTCTTGGTGTGAAGAATCACCCCCAACCCCCAAGACACCCTAGTAGACCCCATACAAAGAGACTCTTCCATGGAGTCTCGGCCACCAATCTCTGGCCCAGCGATCACAGGCGTAGAGACCCACACCAATGACAGCGGGATAGAAAGCCAGGCTGAGAGCGAAGACGGCTGCAGAGAAGTAGGCCGAGACCTGGGGGGCATTTTTCTTCCTTTCTTTCCGGGGCTTTTTTTGGGTCTTGCCCTAAGGGGGCCAATCACCTGAATGGCATATTGTTGCGGCCCCAAAAACGGTTCATTTTTCAGTATTTTGGGGCCAGGTTATCTTTTTTCCTATATAGGCGGAGGTTTCTTTTGAGAAGGTTTGGCCGAGGTGTCCGTTGATTTTGATTTGCAGCCTAGCGCCCAACCTCCCCGCTTTCGCCGCGCAGGCTTGATTTCAAGAGCCTCGTGCCATCAAAAACAAATGCGCCAAGCATTTAACTTGTAGAGACATTTTGAATATCCATCATACAGGCACTCCATTCGCAAATGGTGGGGCTGTGCTTATCAATACTCGCAATTTACGTTGATTAAAATGGAGGAAACTGGTGTCTTTCCTATCCTGATATAAGAAACTACAGTGTAAAAAGCAATCAACAAAGCAGAAACAGACAGAATCAGTTCTGCACCCCAATAGTTCGCGAATTGCCATTCCCGAGCAAAACTCTTGGCAGAAAACGAATCCTTGGAACTAATTTCTTTGATGCGAAACTAAGCCGTGATAAGCCGTGCAAATTGCAATTCTCAGGAGCAACCCCGCGGGTTGTAGCTCCTCAATAGCTTTAAAACAAAACAAAACTTCGCAATCGAGATCCCCGAATAGCTTCGTGCAAATCGAAGGCTGTAGCAGGATGATACTTGAAGTGATGGTGCACAGCTTTAAAAACCACGGGGGGTGGGCGGGAAGCAGTCATGGGGTTTCTAAATTACATGTCTCATGTCCGGTTCATTCTGAACGATTATTGCATTCTACCTTTTGCGACACTGACGCTTTCTGTTGTTCTGCGCAGCCGAGTCATACAGTTTTGGGCAACTTGCGTCCGAATCAACCCAAGTGGATCAAACAAGCAGTCGGGTGAACCTTTCATTGGAAAGGCTCTGTGCCCTACGCTTACATTCTTCCAAGAGAAAGCAAAGGCTGGATGAAGGCAAGACCCATTGTCCCGCATATCCGGACTTGGATTACGCCTTTGGCCCGCCTTTGGGTAATCTGTAGAGCGTGGTGCTGATTGCGATTGCCCAGACGGTTTTTTACACAAGGTGAGTTTCTGGCCACGGTTCCCAGCATTCTGCGTGCAGCCTGGAAAGTGAGGCATTCATTGCATTTTCACTTCGATCTTACATTGGAGCAACAGGACATCGCTGGTTTCTACAATGCTGCTTCACATTTTCGGATCATTCAGTCAATGCAGATTCTCCTCGCACGATTTCAGCGGCTACAGCAGATCACCGACCTTGACGCGTTCCTTTCCACTTCATCCCAGTCTGCGACTCGACCTAACTAGAGGTTTCCGAGACACGTGAAACATCTTCGGCATCGTGTCAGTAAGTTCGTCTTCGCAACATTCTTCCGTTGGTACAGTATTTCCTGCAACGGTCTTACTTTATAGTGGGACGGCATGTCTTCCGCCAGGTGAAGGGCGCCAGCATGGACTCACCCTGTGCACCGATTCTCTGTGGTTGCGTCGCTGCAGTTCAAGACTTGCCATTCCGGGAAAACTCTTCGCAATTTCTACATTCTTCTCGCCTCTTTCTGAGTGCTGTTCGATACGTCGACAATCGAGCATTTCTTTCTGCAAATCCGGTCGTGCGTCCAGTTCCATGGCAAGTCTACATGTCTGAGACCTTCTATGGCGTTTCATTGCTGTTGGAATCATTGTTAAGTTTCCGGATTGATGCAGCACAACGCAGTATCACTATGCATTTGCCCACTGGAACATTTGACACAACTTCATCTTCAGCATGGTCAGTCTTTTCATATGTTGTGGCCTACAGACAGACAGTGGCAATTCGAGCTGTGCATCTCGCAACGGTGTCACAGGATCGCTGAGATCAGTCGTCTTTCCTACACTTTCTCCATCGTGAACTTCATTGATGGTCATACCTACCTGCTGCCGTCCACTTCTACTTGGTGAGTCTCGCACAGCAGTTCAGGACAGTTATCTGTACCAGACCATCACACTTTTGTGCGTAGCACTTCCAGTGCAAAGAACCGTCTTGTGTATGAGCTCATGTTCATGACATGACAAGACGGATTTGCCTTTTGTTTGTGCTGCAGCGCTTCTTCAGCGACTACACCTTTTGCAAGAGTTTTGACATGTTTCAATTTGATTCCACTTCCTGGCTTCAACTATGTGAGAGTTCTATGTGTATGAGTCAGCTTTGAACATTGTTTGACATCATGTCCAGAGCCGGTGCCCATCCCAAGTCCGCCTCCCCCCCACTTCCCAGCTGGGCAGTGTTTCCTTCCCCTCCCGCTGCAGTTCGAGCTGCACCCTACCCGCGGATCCACCACCATCTTTGACTACTGTACCTGTGCAGAAGTCCGCACCTGATCCTCATTCGATCGTTCCTCCCATCAGCCAACCTCCCCCCCGTCTTTCCTCCACAGCCCGCTATGACCTTGCCTATGCTTCGACCACCGCACTGCCTCCGGCGCACCCCTTTCTGTGCAAGCAGGCAACATGTATGCAAGGATCAACCTCAGCTGCAGCTGCCACCCCCGCTGGACCACAGGTCACTGTCCTCACACTACCCGAATCCACCATCACACCTGTCACGAGCTCCCCCCGCATTATCCTGGATGGTTCGATCCTGTACGCCGCCATCAACCTGTTGTCATCTTCCCGATAGACAACTACCAGTGGTTTGGCGATACTCGTGATCGTACTTGGGATGATGATGTTGAGGCAATAGTGATAGGTTAAGTTCTTTCGCGAGAATGCTGCTCACAGGACAAGGTATCCTTCTTTGTGTGTTGCCATGTCTAAGGGAGATGCTTTCCTCAAGGGGAAAAATGTCCTAAGATACTTCTCAGTGGAGAAAATACTGTACATAAAGTCAACTGCAATCGATGACATTTGCTGGCATCAAGCGGAGCTAAGCTCTACATTTCTTGCGCAGTAAGCTTTCCATCTGGAAAGGGAGCTGAACATGCGGGCAATCTTTCGAGAAAAGAGTTTTGACCGAAGATCCGTTTGCGTGCTGTGTGCGTGTTCTGCTCTTTTTAAAGCTTTTTTTGAGCCGGAGGATGTACAGATTCTTTTGGTTCTTGCAAGTCGCATGTGTAATTCATGCTTCACTCCGCTCTTAATTCGCTTGCCGACTTCACGGCCGTGCCGCTCTACGTGCTTCAAATTTGTGCCTGTTTAAAGCATTAAATGTTGCACATCCGAGTGCCTGTCTGTTTCACGTATGGTTCTAGCAGAGCGCTGTGCACCTGTAGTAAGAAGAAACTCCTGCGTTGCCTGTGTTCCTGTACGTTTTGCGAGGGGATATGCGCCCAGGATACATCTCAGGGGGGGGGGAAAGGGGACGCGTGTGCGCGCCCGGGCTGCTACCTCTGCTGCCCAGCCGTGGGTACAGCGGCGCAGCCCTTACAATCCGGCATGGCCGTCATGTTATGGTCCAGCGCGGTGCGCGCTGGCTAAAGCTTTCGCTTTGTCGCCAGTGCATTCCTGGACATCATCGGACCCTGTGTTTCCCTTCCAGGGAGCTGTGAGAGGGAATCGGGGGCGCGCCCATCTTCGAAGCAACTCCACTGAAGCTCCTCCTCCAACGGCATGGTGTGTTTTTTTTGTGTGTTTTTGGAAGCCGTGGCAAGAGCGCATCATGAGCATCAGGGGCACCCTTTCGGCTGCCTAGGAGAGGCCAGGAGCGTCTTTGGGATTTGTTTACAGCATGAAAGACTCAACAGAAGCTCCAATCGTGTCGATGATGCTCCGGCACGTGGTTCCGGGGCCACCCCTAAGCCGCCTCAAAAGGCTGCAAGGGAAAGGGAAAGGAAACACCAACGGTGACAATGATGCTGCTGATGCTTGCGGGAAGTTCGTCTCTTGCTGGTCATGCCGGCCCGTGCCGCCAGGCCCTACAACATAGGGTTAAAAATAGGGGTGTTCTAGGGTTTATGTTTAAGGTTTGTGGTTACCGAAAATTATATAGGGGTACCTTGTTGGGGTCCTGGTGGCTATATTTGAATGGGGGGGGCTCCGAATTTTTGGAACTACCTTTCGGGGCCATTCTTGGGAAGATTGATTATCAGGGGGTGCGGCTGATTAGCTTTCGGGTTCGACAGTGTCGGTTTCCAGGATTGACAGTTTAGGGCTAAGTAGCTGCCAAGAAACGACTTCAACCGAAGCATCGGCGACCAACAGGGAGAGCCATCTGTCTAAGGCCGCGTTCAGCATGGGCGTGGCCAGCAAGAGAACATATCCAAAAGGCATACCTCCTGCGCTGATTATGAATGGGATTATGAATCACAACAGTTCCAAATCCTGAGAACATGGTACACTTACTGTGTCCCCTACATAAACCCACCATTTAGAGTCTGGAGCGAGGGTCGGGGTGGGGTCGCCAAAACCCTAGCCCTCTATACTTATCGTCCTTAGAACCTGTTCCTCGGGTACTAACCCTAAACGCCCTAAACCCTAAACCTTGGATTCCCCCACGTTCATTAACAGCTGGAGAATTATCGTTATGTAGATCCAAAAAGCACTGAAAATTTACCCCTATTTATGGTGGAACTCTAAACCTGGTAAAGTACAGAAGCTGCGTCAGTGGTGAGCCATGTGAAGATGTGTGATGTTTTTCTGTGCGCCACCTTTGGGACTCAAGGGCACCCCCCACCCTCCCTGCCTCCTCCCTCCTGCTAGGGCGATAGTACCCTCTCCCATCTTCTGCTTCTATCATATCAGAGAACTCCAGCA